CCATTCATTCAGTATATTCAGATCTGATTCTCTGCAGTTTGAAATTTAACTGTTATGATAATTTTCTGTAATCTGAAGACTTTGCTACCTCATTACTCATCCTTTTTTTCCATACCCTTTATTTCATATTCATGTTGAACAGCATGCAACCCAGCATAGATCAGTGTGCACTCTGTTGGTAACCTCCTTCAAAAATGTAGTTAATTCTGCTTACTAATAAACTGCAATGAGCACAGGTCACCCATGGCTTCTAATAATTAGGCTGCTAGGCAAAAGTAGGATATGATCTTCTTTACTTTGGTGAATCTGGTCCTTTACCTAGCTTGCTTTTTAGAAGTAGAAGAAAATCAAACACTAAATTTGATTTCAGATCAGACATTCCATATCTAACTGTTTTTCTAATTTTATAAGGAAAAAAAGAATTAAAAATATCTAGTTTGATTATTGTCCTGGTTTTGGCTAGGATAAATAAAGTTAACTTTCCTTGGGCTGAGAGGGAGCACAGCTGAGGGCTGGGTTCTGATCAATCACTAGAGCATTCCATAGCATGTGACATCAAAGCTCAGTACACAGGTGGGCACGTGCTGTCTCTCACACTGTTGTTTTGGTTTTGGTTTCCAGATCGGCTGGGCAGGTTTCTCTGGTGCGATCAAGATCGCTGCTGGGGACGGGCTCTGTACCAGTTGCCATTTGGTTAACCACTACTGCATTTTACCCATTTTGGACTACTGTTATTACTGTTAGTTTTGCTAGTAATTTTTTTTAGTTTAACCTACAAATTTCTTCTTTTGTCTCTCCCCTATTTCACTGGGGTTGGGAGTAAAAAACTGGCCACTTGGCAATTATCCATATGGAATCCTTTGGTTTGTGCTGCCAAACCCAGGAAGTTGTTTATCACCTATCCCTAATCTTAAAAAACATATATTTTTTTTTTTAAACAGGAATTTCTTGACAGAAATTTCTCTTAGGTATGTCACCCAGAACAAATGGCTTAATCCATTCTACAGCAACATCTCCTATCAGTGGTTGTCGCAGATGAAAGTATTGACATGATGATGATTTAGCAATAAATCTAGATTTATTAATAACTAACAGAAATTTATCAATATAAAATAATTCAGAAAGAAAAGCGACTTATTCAGATTCTAAAATGACAAGATTCACTCTAACTTACTTAACAGTACCTTAATTTATACACATATACATGCACATAAACAAAACGGATGTATACATACAGAAACAAAGGTGTTTGGATTCAGTAAAATGAACACAAAAGGGACAAACACATACAGGAACAAGGGTACGTACCCCCACGCACACACCAATAAACAGAGAAAGAACAGGTGAAATAGAAGCTAGCTCAAAGAAAATATCCCTCTCGAGTTTAGAGCAAATACTCCCAATGCCTTGGCATTCCGAAACGGGTGATAATTGAGACTCGAGCGGGGGGACTTCACCCTGGCCTTCCGTCTGGAGCAGACGGCACCTTAAGGGTTTTGGTACCCGAGAGGCATCCCAGCTCAGGGGAGATGCTCATCACAGCCCCGCATTGATCCAGGAGAGCTCAAAGGGTCTTTCTGGTGGTCGCAGTTTATAGGGTCCAAGATAATTGACTTTTGTCAGATACCTTCTGGTGCCTTCCAGCAGTTGCAACGTGCAACCCTTTTATTGTTCCATCTGACCACATGCCAGGCACAGGTGTGCCATGCCATCAGGAGATGATGGGCCATTAGAACTCTTTCCCAGGGATCAGGAGGAGCAGGAGTCAGGCTCGTTAAGGGGATGCCTTAACATTAGCAATCTTTATCTCCACAGATTAGTGTATATCTCGGGGGAGATGTGGGTGGAATCACACCTGGCACGGAGCAGCCCAACAAGGAGGGGTGGGGAGGGGTAAGAATTGCACCACCACGGTGGTAGATGGAAAGTCAGTTAGTGCCATAAAAAGTTCTCTCTGCCTGTCCTTAATAGCCACAGGAGTTAGGGAAGAGCTACTCAGAAAAAAAAAACTGGACCACATTTTCTCTGATGTTCTTTCCCTCTTAACTGCGGTTTGGAGAATCAGGAAACAAATTCTGTTTGACTTAAAATTTTCAGTACTCTGGGCCCATAAACACATCAGAAAAAGTAAAGATGATGTGATTTCTAGGCGATCCAGTGAGGTTCATCTGGAAATATAATACTGGAAAGAAAGTAAGATTTCATAATGAAGCTTCATATATTGGCAAAGTATTTGCATTGAAATATTCCTTTTTTTCAAACCTGAAGCTCTAGCTTGTCCAGAAATTGTCAGGTTTAGAGGAATAGAAGTCCTAAGTTTTAGAAAGAATGTGACACGTTTCTTCCTGAAGCACTTCAGTGGAGATGTAAAACTGTCCTATGGGCTTTAAAGATGTATCCACAGACCTCTTCCCTAAATAGTGCTCTGTTTTAGATAAGTTTGAAAAATATGTATGTGCAATTTTATTAATTCTAGTTTTGTTTTTTTCTTTCTGCATTGTAATAAACACAAACTTTACTCATTTGTTTGAAAATCAATATCATATATAGAGCAAATTGCTTTTATGTCTTACTTTACGGTGTTATGGCTCCCACAGTATTATTGCAGCAAATGCAGAAATGTTAGCAGTGTTTAAATCAAAAGTGAGCATTGTAAATTGTTTATAGACAGCAAGCTCAGCAAACAAAAGTAGCATTATGGAAAAGAAAAACACATTGATAAAGTACTTTTTCATCTAATTCTCTGCAGTTTGTTCAAAATTAGATTTAAAGACGCTGGCTAATAGGTGGACAATACTTTTTACAATACATGATTTTAAATAATGTGTATTCTGCTTTTCTTATATTAAAGCTGTTATCTGTCAGTACATCTAGAAACAGTGATGATGCCCAATTCTCATTAGAAATAATAATGCCAATCTATTCAAGATTATTCCTTGCACTTCTGTGGTATGTATTGTTTTCTGTTGTTCTGTGTCAGTGACCACAGAATGCTTTCCAGGCTTACCAAGAGTAACGGCTAGGAGAGCCTAGCTCTGTAAATGTGACATATTAAATGTATTTATATTACATTCCTCCAACAAGTCACATGGAATTTGATTAGGTTGCGAGTAAAGGGTAGCCCATAGATTTAATGCTTCAGCAGCATACAGTATTTAGTGGACACAGGCCATCACTGATTCTTACTTGCAGTGAGAGGGATGGGAGGAAATGAAGGAAGGTGACCTTTTTCTGTGTATTGGTGGCACTTCTTATTCCATGCGTTTGCTCCCCATGACACGTGGACTCAGACACCCCTTAAGAGCTGCTTTCTTCTGCGTGCTGAGATCTGTCTAGAAAAACAGTATGAAGGTTTTCCTTTCAGAGCAGTATCCATCGAGGACATATGCTTTAGGCCTTGATTATCAAGTAGAAAATTCCATGTTCTCCTTAACTGGACTAACACTTTTCGTCTCCCATTAACACTGCTCAGCACAGCAAATGCACAGTGGGCTTTAATCTTCCCCTCCTCTGTCTGAAGCCCAGCTGGATCCAGTCTGGCACAGGGTTTAAAATAACTGTTTGCTACAATGACAATAAGGTGTGCTGCAGAGCAGGGCAATTTTTTAGCTGTGTGTGAATACAGAACATAATTTGATCTTTAACTGCAGCCCAGCTGAAGTGAGGACAGTGCTGCTCCTGCTGCACTTGTGGCTGACAAAACTAAGGAGTAGATAGGATTATAGAGCTTCAGAGCTCCATTCAACCATTTGGCACGATTAGATCTGCACTACCTTGTGAATGGCACATGTTCCCATAAAGTTAAGGCCTTCTGCAGAATTCATCAGAAGTACTGCCGGTATTCAGACTTTTACAGAACCTGTTATTTATTTTTACGCGGCTTGTAAAATAAAGTCTAACTGCAGTTTTGAGCATTAGTAAAAAACATTAGGATTCACAAAGCATTATTATAATGGAGTTAAAAGTTCAGCTATCACGGACTCCTAGAGTTATCTTTTAAAAATAGTAATTATTTAATGTTATGTTCATTTATTTTAGAATAGCTAAATGAATAACAGAAGCCATCTCATTCAACTATATTATCATCATAATTCTGTTCACTTTAAAGGGACTACGTCTGTGCTTAACGTTAAGCATGTTTAAGCCCTTTGTTCTGCTGTGGGTGATATTTCAAGAAAAATATCAGCTTCTGTGCATAAAATAATTGTTAAGATATCATATAATGTATAATCTACTCCAACCAATTAGCAAATAAAAAAATAAGGTATATCATTAGACTATGTGTTTCTTGCTACAAGAAATTTTTTAAAAAAATATGTTCAATTATCTGCTTATATCATTTTATATTCCCAGACAAAACTTTGTCAAGGAGATTATTATGGACATTGACAAACTTCTTGCTTTGCAACTTGACACAGATATTTCTGCAATGACATCGACAACATGTAGTTGAAGTAAAACACCTGTGTGTATCAGGAAGTCCAGTTATTCCCTTAAGAAATCATTTCTTATTCTTCATATGAATAAGGTAGAATTGTAAGATTTTTTTTTTTTTGGTCTTGGTATTACAGAAAAAATGATAGAAATTTTGATCAATGGACAAAAAAGAAATGGACAGCTCAGGAGAGTGAGAAGGTTGCCAAGAACAGAGAATAGGGAGAAGCAGATGGTGAGAGAGCATAAATTTTGTAGCTTAGCAGTGACAGCGTTCAGTTTGAAGTGAGGCATAGCCAAATTAGATCTTAAAGATCACGTTAGGTTTAGTGAGATGCCATTCTGAATAATTCATTAAGTAATTGGTACCGGCATTTTGGTAAGTAATTAATGGTGAATTTCATATAGAATGGCTTAAGTATTAGGATTTTATTCTTACAGATAAGATGGCATAGTTATGAAATGTTATCTCTACTATTATTTCCTCTGAATTGGAGGATGTGTGTTATAGAAAATGGGGGCAGGGTAGTACTCCATTTTATATTTCTTGTTCTTATATAATTCAGTTAAGGACTGAAAAAGTTGTCTGAGAAGTTACTGGACTGGGATGATGGCTTGTTGAAGACAACTGTACTGCAGTAGTGTAACTTGTACTGATCTGCTTCTCCTTGAAAAATAAGAATTATTCTTATTGAAAATAACCAATTTTCAGTTATGCTGAGTAGTTTCAAGGTGAGTATGAATTGATAAGTAAAGTCCTTCCTATTTAGAACTGTAAACCTAACTTTTCAATGCAATACTCCTTACAGCAAAAATACTTTTGATTGCATGATCTGGAATATGAGAAGAGTGTAGTATCACTTGTATTAAGTGGTGAGAAGTTGAGAGGGAAATAGTTATATAAACAGTTGTGTTTTTCAAGGTCCTAATCTGCCAAAACTTGTACATAAATAATAAGCATTAAGCAATTCTTTTATCTGCATCCAGTGCAGCCCTTCAAACTACGCACGAGCCTGTGATGTGAATGAAACATAAACATGCATTCAAAATAAATATTTATGAAGTTTTGAATATTCAGTATTAATACTGAATCTCAGTATTAATCTCAGATTGAAAACAGATTCAGACCATAAATATGAATTTTGTCACTCAATTCCTCCTCCTCCCTCCATAAAGAGGGAAAAAAAAAAAAAAGAAAGAAGACATTCACTTTTCTCTCATTCACATTTACTCTTAGAGCCTTAAACATCCCCTTTGTTCACAGACCCTCTGAAACTCTATTCCCAAAGACGTTATCAGACTGGAAACACTGAATCAGTTTATAGTATCAAAGAGCTCTAGTCCTTCCTGAAATGGCAGCTCTTCTGTTTTCATGGCAAGATATGGGAAACAGGGGCAAAAGGCAGTCAAAACTTGCGGACCTGATGGCTGGCTCCTTACATCTATTTTTAGGTTGCAGCTGAGGTTACTCCATACTCAGCAGATTCTGGAAAGCCAATACTTTTGTGTCAATCTAGTCAGTAGTTATATAGGTTGCTAGCTTTAGCAAGAGATAAAATTTGTGGGTTATATTTTTCTTTCCTGTTGAGGCCTAAAAATAATTTCCAACTTTGATAATCCTTTTCTTTGCAGCACTTATTCTAGCATTTAATTGAACTGTGGACTTTTTCAACCTCAGGCACCTCCTTCCTGAATTTCACAAATTGCTATTATTAGCCCAGCTACCTTTCCTTATTTCCTGCAATACATTTTCCCAAATAGCCTTATCTCTCTCTTACGTGATCATTTCAAAATAATCTGATGTGCCTTGAGTCAAATACAATGCGATATGTTCCTTCAGTGAAACAAGACATTCAGGCTATTTGCAAGACTCTCAGGCTCCCAGGATTTCTTTTTTTTTTTTCTTCCCACTTGAGATGTACTACCTGCAAGAAAGATGAAACCTGTTGACATAACATTCCAGAGCAAGATTCTCCATGAAATGAAGTTAGCAGTTCCTTTTTCCTCTATGTCCCAAATATTTCTTCATGAATTTATAATGTCATTGTAGCTCCTTTTTAAATCAGAAAGAGACTGGGGAAATAAGGAGGTGAGATTATTCTATAATAAATCCTGTGATATTCTATTTTCTCTCTCCCCATAACACTACACCTACTACAGTCCTGTCATTAAAGGAGAAGACTTGATGTCCCTTCAGTATGCTAGGTCTGGTGGCTAACAGTCTCCACTGGGACCCTTTCTGGAGCAGCTCCACTAACATGTGTCTGATCTTTATTTGTAGAACATGGAGATTTTAAGTCCTGGTTGACTGAATAGGACATGTTTTGGGAGAAAAAAAGTGCATTCTTTCCTTTCTATGTCAGTGTTTCAGATCTGTGATATCACAAGTTTAATCCCTCATCCTTCAAACATGGATAAAAACCCTCAAGGTAATGACCATAACCTGATGTTGAGTTGATGAATTTACAACATCTAATATGAATGCCATAATAAAAGAGACTTTGTTAGTGCTGAGACAGACTGACCCATTAAAATCTCCAAGATTAAAAGTATGTGTCCTCAGACATACTAAAACTAAATAATTAAGTCCTTTGTGTCATGATTTGATTTTTAGATTTAAAGAGATCTCTTCTAAAAAGAACCCCATTTTACTTAGGCTGGTACTAATGATGACAATCTTCTGAAAGAATTCATCAGTGTAGTCGGAGTTTCTATAATAACTCTTACCTTTTATCCTTTGCTATCTATTCCATTTTAGAAGTTAAGAAAGATAACTTTGCTTGTTTCAAAGCTAAGTTTTTTCCTTGGTCAGACTGTTTTTCTTCTGTTTTTTATCAAAGTTGTAATAGGTGGTATTATTTTTCAGTCCTTTATGTTTCCTGCTGAGGGAAAATAACTCTCCTGAGTAACAAGTAAACTACATGTATTATAATATTAAAACCAGCAGATTTCAGTCTTTAATTATGTTTCATCAAGTGTATCTTTATCTACAAACTGTTTAAAAATTGTATTGCACAAAACAAGTTGTTTGTTCTAGTATTCTTGTTACACTATTGAATTCAACCTGTCTCATGGTTTATGCGTATTCTGTTTTCTGTCTGGAAAAGAGTTCATTCTTGTCTTTTCTACCTACATGCTATAATAAATCATGTAAGAGCTTCAAGCATTTCTCTTCTGAAAGGCAAAAAAGTTTTTCTGAAAAAAAACAAACCAGCAAAGAGAAAGAATTAAATTATTTTTTATTACTTGTACATGTTTTAAAACCAATTTATTTCAAAATCTGAATGTTGCTAAATAACAAGAAGTGCAACTACATGCTATATTAAGGATTTCAGTAGTTCATTAAAATGATTTAAACTTTTCTTGGGTAAAAGTTAAAAGAACTAGCAAAATATCAGAGCTGGGAATAACTCCCAGACTACTGCTGTGCCAGTTGCTGCACTTGCTACAACGGACCTAAGTGGGTTATTCTTAAGCCTCCACCATGAAAGTATATTTAGCATTTTTAAAATACTTTTCTTTGGTTGTGAGGCAGTTTTGTAAGAAGTGCTATGGAAATCTAAGGCACAGAAAAATCTTTTAAATCATCAGTGCTTGAATGTAAGTAATGCAAGCAGGCTTTAAATTGTCTCACAGACAAATGATACTTCCTGCTGAGCTGACCCATTCTATGACACTATTTAAGTGGATTTTTTTCCCATTTGTGATCTCTTATTTGTTCTATTACACTTCAAAGCTATGTTCTATAATTTCAGACAGCTCCAGAAACTTTAATCTTCAGGACTTTGTATGCTTTACTTAATTAAGTGATGTACAGGTTTTAAGATCTGGAGTTTGGACATAAAGGATTATGTTAAGTGACATAGAGCTGATCTGATCCGAGGCGCCATATGATGCAGTTATACTTATTTTAATCTCAGTTAAACAATGATCTGTCCCTTAGTACCAAATGGAGATGACTTTTTCCTAATTCTATTCACATACAGGGAATTATTTCTTGTTATGAAGCAGCAATTTTACGGTAATTTATCTGAACTGTATGTAGTCTGAATATATAAAAAACATACTCTGTATACACAATACATTATCTATTCATATATATGAATATATACTCTGACTATAAAAAGAATACTACCATCATGGAGAAAGAAAAAAAAATCTTTCAAAAAGATGTGTTTTTTATCTTTCAAACAAAACCAGAAGCATGCTTGTTTGAGGAAAAGCCATCATAAAACCATGATGTATGGGGAAAGAATCATATGTTTTAAATATATTTCTAATCCATTTCAGATGCCAAGATCATACAGATCCCCTTTTCAAGAGCTGCCTTCACAGAAGGCATATCACCTTTTAAAGTGTAGCCTTCACAGAAACTTATATATAGGTAGAAGCTAATGCGATGTAGTATATTTAATACTGAGTGATTTATAAATACTGTATGATAAACATAAATGCCTTGTAGAGAATTTGTATCTTCATCTCTTTATTGCATATCCACATTGGCAGTCTTTTTAAGTAAGTAAGAACACCAGCATTTCACCTTAGCAATAACTTTCAGAATCTATCTGCCTGAATCTGTTGATATGAAACGTAGCAAATATTAACAGTGAAGGGAAAGAAAAGGTAATATCTACCACAGTCTGCGGTACAATTGTGTAGTCTCAATTTGTATGTCATCACTGAAGTGATTCCTCTGATATTTGGCCCTAAAATGTTAACCTTAAGGGTTACGTGTGTGTGTTAGACAAGCTTGTGAGCGTACTCAAAAGATGTTTTTCAGAATCTCTCTTTGTGGTTCAGAACATCATTTTAAAGCAAGAGTGCTAATGCTATCTAAAAATAGAAATTCTTATCCAGTGTAATACTAAAATCTGTTGACACTAATTTATATCCTGAATTTGGTTGAAATGTAAAGAAAATGCTGAATTAAGAAAAATTGTGACTAGGAGATGTTAAAATATAGCTATGCACTTAGTTGCAACATACAAATGAAGACTATTTTTATTTCAGCATTAAGGTGATTTATTTTCACTTGTCAGAAATTGTCAGAACAACATATTCAGCTGGCTTTGATGTAAAACTGAATCTCTCTACACTGTCTCGTAGGAATTGTGGATCAAGTGGCTCACTGTGTGGGCTAGCCTCCTCAGCTGGATCATCTGTATGTCTTCACTGAATAAAAATTGTTCACCCGGGATATAACATGCATCACAAAGGCTTGACATAAACTTGCTTCCCTAAATGGGACCTCACTTGTATAATCTGGCAGAAGAGATGCCTCCTTTCTGATTCTGATCATGCTTATCAAGAACAGCTGCATTTTAGGATATTCAGACAAGCTCCATATATTGGTAACTTTAAAGAATAATAATAATAAAAAAGAAATACAAGGTTAGTCCTTCAGAGTAATATGAAGGTTGGTGGTTTTTTAAGGATTGCAGATTGGTTCATACAATAGTTTTAGGCACTTTGAAATTTCAGTGTGTGCATCTAGTTCCGTCTGCATACAACCCTGAATTAGTTACATGGGCCAAATTTCAACTTGGCCACTAAATAATTACTTGCCTACCTCTGTAAGGTTCACCAGTTAGCTAAGAAGGTCTTCAGAATTTTGAGTTGTAGAAGTAATTTGGAAGCATAACTTATTTTCTCTCTTTCTTCATAATTTCATCTTTCAGATGGAGCTAGTAATGACTGCCAGTTGCAGAGGGTTATTGGAAAGATTA